AGAATCTCCATTCACAGATGCTTCTTTATTGATTAAAATGAAGGAAATCCACCCCTGCCACTCTAACTAGAGTCCCTGTTTGGAGGAATAAAGAAAGCAATAAAAGCCAAAAACTGACATCATGCTATACTCACAAATGCTTCTCCATTTCTATGATGGAGATCTGGAACTTTTGAGTTCAGGAGACATTGCAATTAGCAATACTGAGTATATATACATATATGTATGTATATATATATATATATATATACACACACATATACATACATACATATATGTATATGTATATATATATACATATATGTGTGTGTGTGAGTGTTTGAATGTAAGCCTACTTGTTTTCATGTATGTGTATATGTATTTAGGTCTATATCTATATGTGTTGAGTCATTTCATTATGTCTGACCCTTTGTGACCCCTTTTGGGGTATTTTTTTCTCAAAGATACTGGAGTAGTTTGCCATTTCCTTCTTTAGCCCAAACAGGCAAATGGGGTGATGTAACTTGCCCAGGGTTACACAGCTTGTACATGTCTAAGGCAATATTTGAGCTCACATCTTCCTGACTCCGCTGGTCATACTTGGCCAAAAGAATTTGTTTCTAATGGTGGGATTTCAGGCATTTGGGGGAAGATATTTTGGGACAAGTAGGTCTTTTTTATTTTTTTGGCTAGATAATAGGGGTTAAGTGACTTGCCCAGAGTCACAAAGCTAGTGTCAAGTGTCTGAGTCCAGATTTGAACTCAATCTTTGACTCTTTTTGCAGCACCTGACATGAATGACCATTTCTTCTTTGAAACTCTCCACTCTGGGTTTCAACGACACTACAATTTTCTGTTTCCTAATTCCTGCTTCTCTGGATACTTTTATCTGTCTCCTTTCCTGGTTCCTCTTCCTCATCTTCCTCCTTCAATGTCAGCATTTTATAGGGTTACATTCTGAGATCCCTCCTCAAATATACCAGGAAAAGAATATAGTCTAGTGGGAAATGCATTGGATTTGGCCAGAAGGCCTGGCGTTTCCTACTTAGTATCTACCAGGCCTTCTGTAACAACTTCTCTGAACCATTTCCTCATCAGTAAAGCTAATAATAATACCTGATCGACTTGCTTCGTAGGGTTGTCATCAAAATAACATGAAGTAACATATGAAAGCATTATTAACCATAAAGCCCCATCCTGTCTTCTCTAAGTTTAGCTTTCTATTAATAGATCATAGATTTACAGCTACAAGGGACCTTGAAGTCCACACACTTCATTTTATTATGAGGGAACTAAGACAGAGAGATTATGTGACTTGTCCATAGTTTCATAGTTAGCAAATGATTGAGCCAGGAATTGAACCCAGGTCCTCTGTTTCAAAAGCCATTACTCTTTCCACTATTACACATCACTTAGCCTTTCAACCTTTCCTTTCGACGAGACAAAGACAGGGTATTTCAGCCAAGGTGGCTGCTCGAATGGAGGCCAATTACCCATTTTCTACATTTAGGCAAAAACCTTAAGTTTGTAGCAGACCAAATATGACCAAGAAATCTGATGAGAAACACTACTTTTGCCATCCCAGAATTGCAGAAAAAGTTAGCCAGAACCCCACGGGCAATAAGAGAAAAGGATGCCTTCAGTAATGACAGTGTTGATCAGGGTGACCAGCTGGTAGAACCAGCAATGGACAAAGCTTAGTATCCAAAGGCAACAAGAGGATAGAGTTTCTCCGAGAAAGCCCACAGTGGGTAAAAGGCAGTTTCAAATGTGTTGGAACCACGTCTTTTATTTTATTTTATTTTATTTTTGCTAAATGAAAATATGTTTTCTCTTCCTCTTATCTCCCCCACTGTAAAAAAGCAAAACAAAATCCTTGTAGTCCAAACAAAACAAATTCCCATGTTGGCTGGGTCCAAAGAATATATGTCTCAACCTGCACCATTAGTCCATAATCTCTCTGTCAGGAGGGGGGCACTGTGTTTTATCACTGGTCCTCTGGAACTATGAGTGTTGACACCACATCTTCTAGGCAAAGTTAAGCCACCTTCTTTCAACTATTCTCCATAACATTTTATCAGCTTGCACAGGTCACCATATAGACAAAATGACCCAGCGAGAAGAGTACTGAATTTGGAGTCAGTGGACCAGGGTTCAAATCTGGCTCTCCGTACTACCTATATAACTTTAGGCAAATTGCTCAACCTCTCTGGTTTTCAATGTTCTCAACTATAAAATAAAGGAGTTGGACCAATGTTGTCGGGGGGGTTTTTTGTTTGTTTTTTAATATTTTGGGGCTGTAGAACAGTGATTTTTATGATCTTTGCGCAGTTGTGTCAAACTCAAATAGAAACTGATGCCTGCCGGCTACATATTTTCTTAGAAAACCACCTAACATTATCTATGTTGTATCACATTTTTTAATTTATCTTGTTAAACATTTCCTAATTATGCTTTAATCTTTTTCAGCATTTGCCACCCTTTGCTCTGAGTTTGACACCTCTGATCTTAGTGAATACTAAAACTATACCCTAGGGGCAGTCCATGGCCAAATCATGAACATATAGGACAGCCTGACCTGGTGACCTTAAACTTCTGATTCCTTCTAGAGAAACCCCTGCCTCCTTCCAGGAGTTTCCATTAGCTCAAAGGAAATTCCAAGTCAATCCACAAATCCTCTCACCTCAAGCAGATATACACCTCCAGGTACATCCAACAGAGACTGGGAATTAAGCAAAACTATAATGCAGAAGTCTGTCTTTGCTTTGTCTAACCCCTGCCGTGATAGTCTTCTCAATGTGAGTTTAAGCCGTTTGCCTCCTTTCTCACAGGTATTTTCATTTTATGTTTTATCTTGAATTGTGCAATGAAAGACTATGTCCAGTTACAGGAATTCCAGTGGATAAGGGAGGTATTTGAGAACACACACAGCTTCAAGGACCCTTAAATAATATCACTTAAGCAGCTACCAATTCCACTGACAAGTAATATTATATAATGTAATAACATATTTATAAGACAACATTCTTTCAGTTTTATGAGATAGCTAGTGTAAACTTTACTATCCTCATTTTACAGGCAAGGAAAACTGAAGCTCAAACACTTAAATGATTTGCCCAAGGGTTCAGCGCTGGTTATGGCAGAGAGGATACTTTAATCCTAAATCCAATGCTGTTTTTCACTATTTACAGGGTTGTGCAAGAGCCATCTCAAACTACCTGTTAATTTTTTCAGTGGGAGCCTTTATAGCTCAGAAATTGGCAAACACTCAATCAGGGCTTGATTTATTATTTTGTTGATTGCCTAGACTTAAGAAAGTGATAGAAAAAAATTCGAATAATGCAGATTAAACTTTAAAATGTATCTTGCATTTTCAAGGAGACAGAGAGACAGATGTTAAACATTTACCAGCACACCACTGACTACATCCTATTTTCACTGTTTCTCCGTGAGAATGGAGAAAGTAAGGTCATACCCAAGAACATATTTGGACTGCCTGGACCTGGAACCCACCCTCTAAAGTGCTGTGGGTAAAGATAGAGAGCAAATACTTCAGACAAGGGACCAGAAAGCACAAGGGTCCAGAAGGCCAGCAGACATTCTTATTGTGTGGGGGGCATATTAGTACCCCATTTTTAAAATGCATCTTTCATAATACTTATGGCCAAAAATTATTTTTCTCATATCTAACTTGAACTACATTCCTTATCTACAACTACCTTGCCTCTCTTTGATTTCTGCATCTCTGCTCAATCATTCTTCACCAATCAAAATATTCCTTATTTCTCCTGCTGGCTTTAGACAAATAGGTAATTCATTCTCTCTGTCTCTGTCTCTGTCTCTTTCTGTATCTGTCTCTATCTTTTTCTCTCTCACTGTCTCTCTCTCTCTCTCTTTCTCCCCTGCTGGGCTATACAAACTTAACCTAAGCAATTATGACCTCCCTTCTCAGTAGCCTTATGTTGAATGCATAAGGCTACACAGAGAATATCAAGCCGAGTTTGGGGTTTGCTTCTTTGAGTTTTGCTCATGCAATTAACAAGAAAGGCAGGATTACTTGTAAATTTAATGGTGAAATAAGATTGCAAGATAATTCTTGTGGCTTATTTAATTTATTTAATTACTGAATTTAGTATTTTGAGGAGAATAAAGAAACAAAGAAGAAAAAAAAAGGCCAGGATCCCTAAACCACACTCACTATAAATGTTCTAATGATTGCATAGTGCCAATATTTTGCCATAATTAGAAGACAAAAGTTTATTTTTATTAGTACCCAGCATAAATATGGACTTAGCAACAAAAATGTTTCTGAAATCATGAATTAAAAAACAAACTTTTAAAAAGTTGATAAATGTAATTGTCTTTCAAAACAGAGTCAAACTGGGAAGGAGTAGGATATATGGAGAAAGAGCAATGGCCTGGAATCAAGAGACCTGGGTTCTAGTGCTGGCTGAGCTCCCGACTAGTGATGCAATCTTGCACAAGTATCTTCACCACTATATGCCTCAATTTCTTCACTTTTAAAATCAGAGGAGTGATTTCTAAAATTCCAGCTCTAACATTCTGTAAAATCTACGGGAATTTTCATGCCCTATTCCCCACCTTCTATACAATCTCTTTTAAGCAATTGATCAACAAGCACTCATAAAATGACTGCTATGAGCCAGACGCTTTGCTAGGCTTTCTGTCAGGGTGTGTCTCGAGCCCAAATCAATTAAAGTCGGTGAGCATATATGACGTGCTCACGTGTCAAGCACTATAGCTCAAAGGAAGTAAAATACAGTTGAGTTGTTGAACCACAAAATGGAAGTAGGTGAAATTCACACAGTCGTTTCATCTTCACTTTGCATGTCATTTGCTTAATGTAAAAACCTCCCCATTCCCTGATCTTTTTCACTGTGCTCAAAGTGGAAAAGCATCCCACTGCTACAGTGCTACAGGGTTACATAGTAATAACTTCTCTCTGAAGGCTTAGAATCTGAAACACTGAATTTTATGATTAAAAGAAAGAATTTTCTTACCATTTGTCTTCTGTTCTCCACCAGATTGATGCCAATAATTCCCAAGAAGGACCCAAAGCCAAGCTACAAAAACAACAACAAAAGAGGAAACCAGATCAATATTCCAGCATGCTTAGCAGCCTGGTAAGGAAAGTTTAACGTTAAATAACAAAGCTAATAACACAGCAGTTTGAAAAACACTTTATGACAGCAAAAAGAGGTCATCTCCATCTTATACTGGCCCAGAGGCAGGACAATTCAGGTTGGACTGGATCTCTTTGGGACAGTCCTAGAATGTGACTAGGTATAGTTCCTACCTGCAGAAATTTGCACTCAAAATATAGTCTCCAGTTCACTCCAGATAAAACAGACTTTATATACATATGTATGTATGTATATATACATGTGTGTGTGCACATCTGTGTATGCCTATGTGCTAGTTTGTGTGCATTTATATGTATACGTATTTATGTGTATATATGAATATAGTATTTATGTATACTTATCATATATAAATATATTTACATATCACGTATATTTTCCATTGCAAACAATGGAAAATGGTGATAATAATTAGCATTTATATAGCACTTTAAGATTTTCAAAGTACTCCATAAATATCTCATCTTAGGCCACAACCACCTTTGGAGGTAGATGCTATTATTAACCCCATTTTACCAATGAGGAAACTGAAGCAGTGGTCAAGTGATCTGCCCAGGGTTACACAGCTAGTAAGCATCTGCTGACAGATTTTAACTCAGGTCTTCCTGACTCCAGGTCTGGCCCTCTATCCACTGAGCCGCTAATTATGGCATGTTACATATGAGCAGAGTAGGTGGTTCCTTTCTGTGGTCTCATTTCAGGCACATGGACAGATGTGCTTATCTCTAAAATATATCACCCATGGACATGCCTAAATTCTAACAACAGAAAATAATTCCTTTGAGTCTAGGAGGGTTTTTAGAACTGAACTGCGATGTAAGTATCCCTTTATGAAATGCAGAAAGGCACCTACTCTTCACCTTAGAGATTTAGAAAGTTGTCTTGGTCACTGAGAGATTTAAGTGCCTGGAATTTCAAAGCCAATGTGTCTCCTAGGTAGAACATTAACCCAGCCTTTCTAACTCTGAGGCCATTTCTCTACCTACTATGCCAATGATGCCTCTTTTCCTTAGAGTTAAGACATGGGTTCTTAACCCTTTTTTGTATCATGGACCCCTTTAGCAGCCTGGTGAAACCCTTTTCATAAAATTTTTTGGAAGTGCATAAAATAAAATATACAGAATTTTAAATGCAATTATTAAAAGATTTTTTTTATTTTTCTAGGCAGTTGGGTTAAGTGACTTGCCCAGGGTCACACAGCTAGTAAATGTCAAGTGTTTGGTCTGAGGTCGGATTTGGACTCAGGTCCTCCGGACTCCAGAGCTGGTGCTCTATCCACTGCGCCACCTAGCTGCCCCCAAACATGTATTTTTTAAAAAACAAAAATAAGTTCATGAACCTCAGGTAAAGAACTACTAATAAGGGATTGTATTTCCAGTTATTCACTAGAACTAAAATACATATATGCTGCAAGGGAGGAGTAACTTGTTAATCCATTGTCACTCATTAATATCTTAATAGAAATAAGTTTATTGGTTATCTTGGAATGAGAAAAATAGAACTTTGAGGGGAAAAGAAGTTTTGATGACTACAGAAAGGAATAAAAAGTTCAGAATTTGGGTACTTCTTAAAAAGGTCAAATTTGACAGGAGGATGCCAATGGTAGGCTATGAGTATTGGGAAAAGGGCTATCTAAACAAGAAGAAAGGATGTAAAAAAGGTAGACAGGAAATAAACTTTGCCTACTTCCCAATCTTTCCAGGGCAGAAGAAGTTAAATCTAATGTTGCAGAGTGAGAATATGTTCACAAACGGTGAATTCGAAATGAAGTTGTGTGAGAAAATCTAACCACAGAATCTTATGAGAGGTCAAAAACTAGGATCTCAGTTTTAATTTTCTTTTAATAAAAAATAGTCACAACCATGAATGCCTGTGATTCCAGGGTCCTTGCCTATCCTTCTCCCCAGGCCAAACACACTGCATACCAGTTAGTGACACTGAGCAAGAGTGAACTGTATCACAAATTGAGCCTAAGAGCATCAAGTCTAATTCTTCCAAGTGACCTCACTTACAGGTCCCTAGCAAGAGGTGTGTGGCTACAATGCCTGAGATTGACATAGGGGTATACATTTCTGAAAGAATTCTGAATGTGTGCACGGAAGTGCACACTCTTTCTTCAGTGATATGTAAAATACTGTAAGGAAAATGATTTGAAGATGCCTTGTTGGGCAGCTCTAGTAAATCTGGGTTGAACCAGGGATATTTGAAGAGCAACAAAATCCTACCTGCTTTTCATCACTCCTAAAATTCCACCATTAAAGTTCAATTTTAGTCTTGAAAGCAGAATTTCAGTCTTCAAAAGTCACTATTAAGATGAAAATATGCCTTGGAAGATAAAAGATGTGTGCCAACTAACACCTTAAAAGATATTTCTTCAAAAATAAAGTCCTATCGTAAGAGGGGACAGCTAGGTGGCACAGTGGATAGAGTATTAGGCTGGGAACCAGGAAGACTCATCTTCCTGAGTTCAAATCTGGCCTCAGACACTTACTAGCTAGGTGACCCTAGGCAAGTCACTAAACCCTGTTTGCCTCAGTTCCTTATCTGTAAAATGATCTAGAGAAGGAAATGATAAACCACTCCAGTATTTCTGCCAAGAAAATGCCAAATGGGGTCATGACAAGTTATACATGGCTGAACAACAACATAGTAAGAAGGCTAGGGCAGCCAGGTAGCACAGTAGATAGAGAACCAGGCTTGGAGTCAGGAAGATAGGAGTTCAAATGTAGCCTCAGAAACTTGTTAATGTGGTAACCCTAGACAAATTACTTAACCCCCATTTGCCTCAGTTCCTTATTTGTAAAAGGGAAACAAACTGGAGAAGAAAATGGCAAACCACTCTAGTATCTTTGCCAAGAAAACCCCGCAGACAAAAGTCCCTGGGGTCATGTAGAGTTGGACACAACTGAGTAACTAGACAACGACAATAGTAAGAGGAAAAGGATAGGTTATTGCCAAAAAGTAATCCAAAGGGATGAACAAATAGGTCTCACAAGAATTGCAAACTATAGGCAACCATATGAAAGAAAATTGTACTGGCTAATCATAAGAAATGCAAATCAAAACAATGTTGATGTTATACTTCTCACTCAGCAAATTGGCAAAGATGATAGAAGGTGGGAAGAGTCAATGCTGGAAGGATTATGGAAAGACAGGAACACTAATGCTCTGTTAGTAAAACTGTGAATTTGTCTAATCATTCTGGAAAAAATTCAAATCATTCAAGAAAGTAATTAAAATGCTCATATTCTTTTTTCCCAGATATCCCATTATCATGTTAAATACAGAGCAAATCAATAACATAATGAAAGGTCCCATATACATCAAAATATTTATAGCAATTTTTTTATAGTAGCAAAGAATTGGAAACAAATAAAGGCCCATCAACTAGGGGATGGCTAAACAAATTGTGGTACAAGAATGTAATGGACCATTACTGCTTAAAGAAATGATGTATATGATAAAAGATTTATATGAACCAATGCTAAGTGAATTAAGTAAAAGGTAATAATATGCAAAATGATTACAATAATTTAAATGGAAAAACAAAAACCAAACAATTGAAATGGAATGTTGTAAAATTATAGTGACCAACCTCCATCCCTAAAGAAGAAACATAAGAAAGTTTATTCCTCCCTTCTTTGCTGAGGCAAAGGACTAGGATGTGGGAAAATACAAATGTCAGAATTTTTAAACTGTTGGGCTTTTTGCTGAACTCATTTTTCCCCTTTCTTTTTTATTTTTTGTTTAAAATGCCTCTCGGAATAGTATAGCTGACATTTATAAAGAACTCTAAGTTTTCTAAGTGCACTTCATAGATCTATTTCATTTGATCCTTATGACATCCCTCTGAGGTTGGTGCTGTTGTTATCCACATTTTACAAATGAGTAAAATGAGGCTTAGAAATGTGAAATTACCTATTCAGTGTCATACAGTTACATGTCTAGTAAATGTCTAAGGTAGAACTTAAACACAGTTCTTCCTTACTCTTAACTTTAGTGTTCTATCCTATATGCGATACACCTTCTCTGAATATAAAATATGTTCCTTTTAACCAAGCTGCTCTTGAGAGTCCGCAGTGTGGCCTAATGAATGCTGCACTGGACCTGGAGGCTAGAAGACTTAAATATAAATGCTATCTCTGACATGAAATATGTGTCTATGGGTATAGCTACATATTTCCACAATCTTCCAATATTGGCTATTCCCATCTCTTGTCATCTTTGCCAATTTGCTGGGTGAGAGATAAAATGTCGAGTTGTTTTTGATTTGCATTTCTCTTATTATTAGTAATTGTAGCATTCTCTCTGGGCCTCAGTTTCCCCAACTGTAAAATGGAGGAAATAATTCCTGTAGCACTACTACACAGGATTACTATGAGAATTAAGTGAAAAGTGCTTTGCAAACCTTAAAAAAGGCTGGAGAAATATTCAACTATTATTGTTAAAATGCAGCTCAAAGTCTATGGAATATGATCTAAGTAACCCAGGTTATGAATGAAGTATTAGTGAAAAAGGGAACATGGAACAGAAATAGGGGTGCTAATTATTTGAAAGCAAATGCTCTGTGCAGGGAGGAAGGCGTCACTTGCTGAGAGCCTCCTAAGGTGAGTTTGCCTTGGTGTTCTATTTCCGCAGCACTCAAATGAAAGCATACATGATGTATACCAGTATTAAGCTTTTTCCAATAATTAAGTACCTTCACGAAGAAGAAGGAATTTTCCAAAATTTTCTTTGTAAATTAAAAACCAAAACACTGAATTAGGAGTTGGGAAACTCTGTGCTGGAAAATGGGCTAGAGTGGGAAACAGAGAGGTTGAATTTTAAGATGCTTCCCCTGGCACTCACCTTATGGCAATGGGCAAACCATGTGGCGTTTCTGAGCCTCACATGGCTCAATGATAGTAATACCCATGGTACAC